TAAAAAATCTAAAACTTAAATTTTCTTTTGATATTGAGTTTCTCATCGCCACCCTTTGTCTTGGTCTCCAGAAAGCCCTCAAATTAAAGCTGGTCTTGAATGAGTATTTATAGAGATGTAGAAAACTCTAGGAGGAACCAAGGAGAAAAGAAGTGAGACCGGTGTCAAAATTAAAAACATTGAAAAGAAGGGTATCGACACTACAACAAAGGTATTGACATTTCAGCTACAAATTTTTCATAAAATTGTTAATGAATGCATACTGTTGACACCTAGCCAATGTCGGGCTTTTTTTTATAAGGCAAAGTACTTAAATCTACCCTCAAAGTTAGATGGTAGGGATGAGTCTACTTTCAAATAAAAAACAGAGATAAATTTATTTACTAAGGTTTTAATTTGGATAAATTATCATAAATTTAACATGTGTTCAATTTTTTTGACATGCAATTTCTTTAATGATAAAATAACACATATGGTCCTTTAATTTCTACTCTGTGAGGATTTGATACTGTAACTTTTGAATTTATTCACTTAAGTCCCCAATTTCAACATTTCTACCAGCAATATGATCTCTTCACTTTCAAAAGATTTTCACTTAAATCCCAAAACTTTTATTCTTTTTCATTCAAGTTCTTTTCTACATAGCATCATAATTATATAAAATTTTAAAAATATCACATTATACCATCCAAATATGAATACAATCAATGCTACAATAAGAAATTTAAACATATTAAATGCATCTCAACAATATTTGAAAATATTATTTGATCAAATTGTCACGCCCCAGAACCCAAATCCGGGGACGTGGCAGACGCCGTGCACTCGTGAGACGGGTCCCACAAATGCACAAGGCTCGGAACTTATCACACTGAACTCTGATACCATAAAAATCTGAAGATCAAATTATAAAATCTCTCTGATATCATAAATCTCCAAATACACTCTGGTTTACAAGATCATGATTTATCTAAAGCTATGCTCAATTTACAAGTGGCTAGCCTTCTAACTCGTCACTTCCCGTGGTTTCCCCGTCCTTGGTTTCACATCCTGAAATGGTGGACAAGGAAAAACTATGAGATAAACTCAGTAAGTAAATATGGAGTGCCCCTTATCAAACTTAAAGCATGCCAACAAGTACAATCACGAAAACAGATACAGTACGGGCACGAAATAGACGTCTCCTCTATAGGTCATGGCCAGTTCCCACTGGCAGGCAAATAGGAATACTAGTGTATAATCCCCACTAGTAGGGCCACGATTTGCTGGTGTATAACCCCCACTAGCTGGGTTGAACGAACCGGCTCTATCACTACATGTCGACATGTGCTAGCGTTTATACCTCCCCCACTAGCGGGGTCACGAATACATGACCATATCGGAGACAAAACAGGCAGAAGTTAACAGGAAAATCACAATTCACAATCACTTTCAAATCATCAGGACAATCACTTAAATTTCAAGTAGGCATGCTCAATTTCATGAAAAGCACAAAACATTTCACTTCAAATCAGTCATGCTCGTGTAAAACGGGTTTAGCCCCGCCACCACTTCAAAAACAAATCAAAACATGCTTTTAAAACAGTACGGGCATTACCATAAATTTACTTACCTCACTTGCATAAAACCGAGCACTCAAGTCACGCACTAACTGACAGAACGATCAGGAACCTAATCAAAACACCTCAGAATTAATATCGGACTATCACAAATTCAAGGTAAACTCATCATTAGGATCATTCCTAATCACAATGCTATTTCTATCACTTTCCACATGATCGGACATCTCCAAATTCGTTCTCATATCACAAACTAATCATTTAAATCCCCGTTAATTATTGGCCCTCGGGGTGTGAACAGTGTTCTGTGAACAGTACCGTGAACAGTACCACGACGTGAACAGTAACTGCACTTCCAAAAATTGGCCAACACACTAGCTAATCTCACAGGGTTTTCTCTCCAAAAATCACACAACAATCAATTAACACTCAATCACATAATCCCACTTTAATTAAGCTAAATCATGGTCCTAAAGCTATCGGAATTTCCCCCATTTTTCCAACACAATTCGGACATACAAGGGCAGCAACCAATGGACAAATTCGAGCTTAAAGAAGTGGCCCTCATACCAGAATTTAGCAGCTGCAGAACCGGGCCTAGCAAGGGGGAGAAGCCAGCGGCAGTGCAGGGGAGAAACTCACGGGTCTTGCAAAAATTGGAGGAAATAAGAGCAATTAACGTAAACCCAAACCAATTCAAGGAAAAACAAAGGGATTAGCGGCTGCACTTACCAGAAAAATGCCCAGAATTTCGGGCCTAGCAGCAGCAGCCGGCGGACAGAGCAAGGCAGATCCGGATTTTCCAACAGGGGAAGGAGATTTCTGGGTTCCAAATCAGGTTCTAGAACAAGAAAAGAAGGAGAAAACCAAGCTTATCTCACTAGTTTCTCAAGCATGGCTGGGTTCCCCTTTTTTTTTTTTCTCCGGGTGGCTGCAGCGGGAAGAAGAAGAGCAGAATCGGGAATGGCTAGGAAGAAAAGAAAGAAAGAAAAAGAAAAAGAAAAGAAGTCATCCTTATCCAAAATCTTTTCCTTTTTAAGTCCCTCAACTTTGGATATTTTGGCTCTTAAGCCCAAAACAATATTTTTCCACAATTTAGCCCTTAACTTACACTTAAATATTCCCAAAAATTTGGGATATTACACAAATGAGACTAATAAAGAATTAAACAAAAAAAATTTCAATTTTCATTCATATATATATATATGGTTTGTATTTTGAGTTGCACAATGAAAAGAGGGGTAAGCAAGCAAAGATACGAGTCATGTATTAGCTCATATACTCCATTTTACTTACTCAAGTATTAAAAATCTACATTCATTAATCATTACCTAACTTGTTAGATACGGCCCATATAGGTGTCTGCAGAAGAACACTTATACCGATTAACTATATACATTACTCTTTTGGTCCCAAATAGCTATCACGTTAACTAACTTGCATGGAATTTTAGGTAATAGTTTTATATGGATATATAGGAAAAAGTGTATATTAGTCATATTTGCAAAAAATTAGATCAAAATATCTTAAAATTACATTATTTTAATAAATATTTCTTGAAAAAGACTAAAAATCTTAATTTTTAAAGCATAAATGATGTTATTTTAATTTTTTTAGTTGTGCTTTATTCAAACGACATAAATTAGAATTTTTCTTTGCTTAATTCTTTTCTATAGGTCCAATTAATAAACACTAATCTTATAAAATATATATTTATATTTATATACTCCCTTTGGTCTAATTTAGTTGTCCCACATTCTAAATAAGAATGGTCTAATTTAGTTGTCATACTTTTTATTTTGATAAAATATTAAATGTTAATATTTCAAGAAGAATTTAAAGCTGCAAAGGATCTGATTGTATTTTGCCAGCAGGGTCTTTCCTTGTTGTGTTGTGTGCTTTTTGATAGTTTCTATGGACCGTATGTAAAGGATGTTTAATGGTGTTGGGGATTATTTCTTATACTTCCAAGTAATATATTCAAATTTTGTTTTGCTGATAAAAAAATAATAATATTTCAATCTTATACCTCATAAAAGATAGAATTGTGTCAGTCTCTTCATTTAAGAATAATAAACTTATTGGGGAGGGTGGGGGGAGACTAGGAAAATACACTGGGTAAATTGGAAACTAGTGTGCAGAAGCAAACAAGAAGGAGGTCTAGGAGTGAAGGACATTAGGCTTTTTAACTTGGCGCTCTTAGGTAAATGGTGGGGTAGACTAGTAGAGGGAAAGGAGAACTTATGGTTTAGGCTAATTAAAGAAAAATATGGGTCTAGAAAAGATAATTGGTGCGGGTGGGTGAGAGAAGGTAAAGTTAGTGGGTCTGGATGGTGGAGGGATATATGTAGGTTGGATGTTTTGGAAGATAACGGAAGAGGGTGGTTATTGGATGGTTATGAGCTTAAGGTTGGCAAAGGAAATAGTGTTAGCTTTTGGAAGGATAGTTGGAGCAATGCAGGAGTGTTTGCTAATGCTTTCCCAAGATTATATATGCTATCTACAGGAAAGGAAAGCTCTATACAGGAAATGGGTAGCTGGGAAGGTGAAACATGGTCATGGAACTTTGAATGGAGGCGAAGCTTGTTTTCTTGGGAGACCGAATCACTACAGGATTTAAAGCAATGGATCGATATGACTGAATTCCCAAAAGACAAGGAGGATACTTGGATCTGGAAGGCAGAGAAGAAGGGATTATACATAACGAAATCATGATACAGCAAACTTGTCCATCAACAACCTTCATCACAAGAATCATTATTTATAAGGTTATGGAACAGTCACATTCCTAACAAAGTTTGTGGGTTTGTGTGGTTATTATTGCATGACAGGATTCCATCAAA